CATTTTGTAAAACTTTTGTATTTTTATTACGTATTGTTACATATGATTCTGGAATTTCTCCATCAGCAGTTGTACGAAAAACAGCAGCAACTTCATTAGATCTTTGAGCATTATACCGACGTCGATCCATACCAGGTCTTAAAGTAAATAATAATTGTAATTCCGGTAATAATTGACCAGATTCCATTTCCAAACGTCGTTGATTTTCTAGTTCCTCACCCATCATTTGATAAGATTGAGCAAATATATTAAATTCTCGCATTATATGTTCAAGATTTTGTACAATTTCCAAATCTAAATCTAAATTTTGATTAAGACGATGATCTATTGCTTCATTTGAATCCACAATAAAAAGTTGACCATTAGTAGGACTTTCATTTTGTGCAGCATATAATGCTGTATTAATTTGATAATAAATTTGACCTTGTATTTTGAAACAGTATGGACCAGGTCGTCTATCTTCAAAGTTAATTAAATTTGCATTAAATGATGCAAACGAAAACGAACTATTATAACTACGAATATGTTTGAAAAAATCATCCGATTTTATATGACTACCATCAAATAAATTGAGGATGTTCCGGCAATGGTTGCAAATATACTGCACCGTGATTGCAACAATCGTGAAATGAACTTCCTCTATTTGATATTTTTTCAGCTGCAAAATGCTTTGCATTGCAGTGAACACAAGACACGTCCATAGAACCAATATAATATTCAACCACATTGCTAATTAATAAAGTATTATCATTAATTAAACGCGGTTGATTTTTTTGTCGTGATCGATAACGAGATTGATTTTCTGCACAATTTTGCTGAAGTGGTGCAACATTTGTCGAATTTATGTTACTATTATTTGAAATTGCTTTCGCAATCTCACGACGACGACGCTGATTTTCTGCTTTCCTTTCAAGACGTCGACTTTGTAATTCTTCTTCTTCTTCTAAAGTACGTTCTACTCTACGTTTTGGCATTTTGTAACAATCCAATAATTACACTAACAAATATAAAACTGTAAACACAATTTTAATTATATGTAATTTTTTAATTTATTTTTTAAATAAATCTAATCAAAATTTTTAAGTATATTGCAATAAAAGATCGACAAATAAATTGTAAATTATATATATTATTTTAAAGAATATGTTATAAATAAATTCTAATAAAGAACAAAATAAATTAAAATTATTATACAAAACTAATTAATATATAATTATAAATGTATATTAGATAATGTAATTTTAATTCTAATATATAATTTCTATACTTTTATTTTGCTTCATCATCATCATCATCATCATCATCATCATCATCATCATCATCATCATCATCATCATCATCATCATCATCATCATCATCATCATCATCAATTATAATTCATTAATAAGTTTAATTTCTTAATTTATTAATTATATTATAATAACGTCTTTATTAATTTTAAGTAATTAATTACAAATTACATAATCCAATTATTAATAAATAATTTAATAAATAATTTATATATTAATAAATAATACAATATTATAAATTTAATAATAATATTAACAAATAATATTAAATAATAATCTTACAATAATATCAAATAATAATATTATTACATAACAATATTATCTAATACAATTTATTTTTTATTTACTTTTTTATTTACTTTTTTATTTACTTTTCAAATTTTATGTTTACACAATTTATTTATCTTCTTTTGTACTTTTTCTTTCCGTTACTTTTTCCTTTCTTTTTGATGTGTTGCTTTATTTCTTTATTTCTCTCTATCTCTTCTCTTTCTTTTTATCACGCGCTGTTTTTCTCTTGCTTATTCTTTTTTGACTCTAAATAAATAAAACGTTTATTAATATCCCTCTTTCTTTCTCTCTCTTACATATTTAGATAAATAAAATAATTATATATAAATAACTTGTACAATAAATATATAATTACCTAATATTATATTTTTTATTTCTTCCGTCTCTTTTTTTCTTTCTCTTTGCATCTCTTTTTCCTTTTATATACCTTTTCTCTCTGTTCTGTCTTTTCTTTACTTCCTCTCTCTCTTCCTTTTTTGCTCTCTTTATTATGCTTATTCTTCTTTAACTTTAAATAAAGAAATAAATATACATATTATATATTAATACATACATACATACATATATATATATATATATATACAGGGTCTACCAAAAGTGTGGAAACCCCTAAATATCTCGGAAAATATACGTTTTACAGAAAAGTGTTTCCAACAAAAGTTGTAGGGTTTAAGAAGATCTATATACTGATTCTATCAGTTTGACCTTGGATGGCGTCGTCAAGGTCAGGTCAAGGTCACATTGACTTTTTTAAATGACACCCCCTACATTTGATTGCATATTCTTATAGCTTAATTCAAGAGCTTTCCAAAACACTATAATAATGTTCATTTTTATTAAGTACTTTGCGAGTTATGAGGGTTGAAATAATTTCTTAATTTTACATAAACCATAAAATATCTAGTAAACCATTCATTTTTCGATTATCTTACCTTCATACTTTTATGTACAAAATAATGAAAGGAATCAATTGGTGTAAAGAAAACATACAGTTGTTTTTAAGAAAAAATATGGAATTGTTAATTGCAAATTACATATTTTTTCTTAGAAACAACTATGTGTTTTCTTTACACCAATTGATTCCTCTCATTAATTTGTACATAAAAGTATGAAGGTAAGATAATCGAAAAATGAATGGTTTACTAGATATTTTATGGTTTATGTAAAATTAAGAAATTATTTCAACCCTCATAACTCGCAAAGTACTTAATAAAAATGAAAATTATTATAGTGTTTTGGAAAGCTCTTGAATTAAGCTATAAGAATATGCAATCAAATGTAGGGGGTGTCATTTAAAAAAGTCAATGTGACCTTGACCTGACCTTGACGACGCCATCCAAGGTCAAACTGATAGAATCAGTATATAGATCTTCTTAAACCCTACAACTTTTGTTGGAAACACTTTTCTGTAAAACGTATATTTTCCGAGATATTTAGGGGTTTCCACACTTTTGGTAGACCCTGTATATATATATATATATATATATATATATATATATACACAGGGCGAGCAATTTTAATCTATAATTGCAAATTTCTCCAAAACTACGCCAGATACAAAAAAATGATTCATATGAAAATTGTAGAGGATGAAGGGGAACGTAAGATGGTTCCATTGGTTTTACCTTGAAAAGTCATTTGAAAGTCATGTGAATGTCACTTCAATTTTTTTAAACAGAATACCTTATATATTTTTACACATTCTTGTAGCTCATTTCGAGAGCTTTCCAAAACACTATAATTAAGTTAGTTTTCCTTAAGTACTTTTCAAGTTTTAAAGCTTGAAATTATTTCTTAATTTTTCATAAACCGATCTTTTGTCTCCCTTCATCCTCTACAATTTTCTTACTAATCTTTTTTTTGTATCTGGCGTAGTTTTTGTTAAATTTGCAATTCTACCAAAATGGCTCACTCTGTATATATATATAAATATATATAAATATATATATATATATGTACATATATACAAATATATATATATATATATATATATATATATAACTTGTACAAAAAATATATAATTACCTAATATTATATTTTTTATTTTTTCTGTCTCTCTTTTTTTCTTTCTCTTTGTATCTTTTTTTCCTTTTATATTTCTTTCCTCTCTGTTCTATCTTTTCTTTATTTTCTCTCTCTCTTTCTTTTTTGCTCTCTTTCTTATGCTTATTCTTCTTTAACTTTCAAAAAAGAAATAAATATTCATATTAATACATACATACATTTATATATATATATATATATATATATATACACATTATGTCTATGGGTACACACACATATATATATATATATATACATATATACATATATATATATATATATATACATAATTCATATACGTAAAATAAATATACGTACAAGTTATACATATATATATATATATATATATATATATATATATATATAAAGAATTTGTACAAAAAATATATAATTACCTAATATTATATTTTTTATTTCTTCTTTCTTTTTTTTTCTTTTTGTATCTCTTTTTCCTTTTATATTCCTTTTCTCTTTGTTCTGTCTTTTCTTTATTTTATATCTCTTTTTTTTTGGCTTTTTTTCTTTCTGCTTATTCTTCTTTAACTTTAAATAAAGAAATAAATATACATATTAAAACATACATATATATATATATATATATATATATATATATACATTATGTATATGTGTACATATATATATACATATATATATACATATATATATATATATATATAAATAACTTGTATCAAAAATATATAATTACCCAGATAGCACAAAATGTCCTTAGGATTATCCTAAATATGTCCAGGACATCCTAGGATATTTATGGGCTATTTTGTTGTAAAATTAAAAATATTTTTTATTTGCATATATGACCATTTTCAACCATATTAGGCATTTTATTTAATTCAAAAATGTCAAATATTGTAATAAAATATAAATATCCTATAAATATGTACTGGATGTCCGCTGGATATAATTCAATTGAATAATATCCATCGGACATCCAGTAGATATTTATATAGGACATTTATATTTTACTGAATATACATTTATCTAATTTTAAGTACAAAAAGTGCTAAAGAGTTTAAATAAAATAAATAAACCTATATATTGTTAGAAATATAAGATGTCCTAGAAATATCCTAAGGATTTCCCAAGGATGTGTCTACATTTTAGCATAAGTATTGATATAATGGAGATATGCAATTGCGTTTTTTTATTTAATGTATCTCTCTTGGAACTAAAGTTTTGTCTGAAACATTCTCTACAATATTTTTACAGTTAGTATTTTTTGCAATTTAGTCGTATTAATAAAAATATAGGACATTCTATATAGTTTATAATAATATTTGATGTTATTTTCATAAAATATTAACGTATCTTCTATATTATATGTATCTTATTCCTAAGCGAGTCACATCTGTCATATAAGGCCGAATTCCCACTAAGCGCGACACGTAATGCGCGACATGTAACATGCTCAGTGAAAATTCGGCCTAAGACTGTATTGCGCGTATGTATTTAGCAAACGCGCATGCTTAAAAAGCACCTTCGAGAAGCTTTGAGAAGGTATCATGGCGGTATATGCTGGCAAGTATTAACGTGTGAGCACGTGTAAGAATAAAAATTTCTTTTATGGTGCGAATGTATGTGAATAAAGCACTAAAAGTTGTATATTTTTGTATACTGAAAATTGTGTATTATATGGGAAGGCAATTGAGATATTCAAGCATCTGGAATTACTCGGCACAATAGTGGTAAGATATTAATCCAAATATATATTATTTTTATATTCATAAAAATTGTGTTCTTATTAATTAAAGGCTTATTAATTTACGTTATATACGTACATTATAAATTTCGGTATACTGGCAATTATATTGGAACACGGTCTATAATTAATAGGAAACACAGCTATAATAAAATAACATATTATTGTTAAAAATGCATCATTTGTATCTTTTCTTGAACAGATTTTTGTTTCATTTTATTATAGAAATTTCTACGGATTGTTTAAGCGTTACGTTGTTTATCACATCTGAAACGCTATATAACTTTAAGGACAAATTTTCTTTGATGCAAGTTGTGGCAACTGAAAATTGTATTTCAAGCAATTGAGATATTCACAGGAATTGCTCCTGAAATTATTATCAGCACAATAGTGGTAAGATATTATCCCAAATATTTTATTTTTATATTCATAACAATTATGTTTCTATTAATTATAGGCAGTGTTTCCCGATATAACTGCCATTATACTGAAATTAATAGTTTTTACGTTACGTATTATAAATTTCAATATACTGGCAATTATATCGGAACACAGCTATAATAAAATAACATATTAATCTTAAAAATACATCATTATTTTCATCTTTTCTAAAATAAATTTTTGTTTCATTTTATTATAGAAATTCCTGCGGATTATTTAAGCGTTATGCAGTTGATATGCATAACATCTGAAACATTAACTTTTAAGAGCTTTTTTTGATGCGAGTCGTGGCAACTGTATATACATACTGAAAACTATATTACAAACAATTGAGATATTCACTGGAATTGCTCCTGAAATTATTATCAGCACAATAGTGGTAAGATATTATCCCAAATATTTTATTTTTATATTCATAACAATTATGTTTCTATTAATTATAGGCAGTGTTTCCCGATATAACTGCCATTATACTGAAATTAATAGTTTTTATGTTACGTATTATAAATTTCAATATACTGGCAATTATATCGGAACACAGCTATAATAAAATAACATATTAATCTTAAAAATACATCATTATTTTCATCTTTTCTAAAATAGATTTTTGTTTCATTTTATTATAGAAATTCCTGTGGATTATTTAAACGTTAGTTGATATGCATAACATCTGAAACATTAACTTTTAAAAGCTTTTTTTGATGCGAGTCGTGGCAACTGTATATACATACTGAAAACTATATTACAAGCAATTGAGATATTCACTGGAATTGGTCCTGGAATTATTATCAACACAATAGTGGTAAGATTTTATCTTAAATATTATCTTTATATTCATTAAAATTATGTTTTTATTAATTACATTTCGTTTCTCTAAGTTTTTTTTTTAAAAATGAGAAAAAATATTTTAAGACGATATATAAACCTACAGTTCTGAAAAAAAATAATTTTTAGAAATTTTTTTTAAATTAAACTTTTTTTATTGAAAAATATACATAATTTTAAATATATTACCTAATTTATAATAATTTTAAATATAATACCTAATTTATAATAATTTTAAATATATTACCTAATTTTTGTTTAATAAAATTCCTAAAAATCATTTTTTCTGGCTTTTAGATGTATATAAATTTTTAAGTATTGCTATAAAATTCAAAGATGCAGAATAATTTATTTATTATGAGAAATTAAGTAAAGAATCTTGTTTCTCTCTTTAAGTATTTTTTTAAAGTGTAACATAGAACGATTATAATGATATACTCTATCATATATTTAAACAATTATATTGAAAAACAAATTGATTGATTATGTTTAAAATTGATTATGTTTAATGAAAAGTCCTAGATCAATATTCAATTATCGGGGATTGCCCGATTAGACACAGTACGATTAGACACAGCCAATTATATCGACCGATGCTTGGGGTAACCAGCACGATCAAGCACGATTAGCCAATCAAAGCCAGTTGTGTCCAATCGTACTGTGTCTAATCGGAGGTGTTTCCAATTATCCATATATCTTAAAACTTTGCTTTACATTAAATTTTGGGAAGGGTAATATATAATGTAAAACAAACACCATCAATCAGATTGCTTACATAGGTAAGATTGGGTTATATCTGGCTAATCTATGTAATGGTTGATGGTTTATTTTATCTGGGATTTATTCCTAAATTTTAATTTTTTCAAATTTATTATTTTAGATAATATCTATCTTTAAATTGTTTATAGATATGCAAACATGTCACGGGGGGAAAAATTTATATGCAAACGTGCAATTAGTTCTTCACATAGAATGAAATTAGCGAAGTTGGAAACAAAAGTTTTAATGGAATCCTTTGATAAACCATCAATGTCCAATTCAACATGGTCTTGCAAAAATGACTTACAAAATGAAAATGAATTACAAAACAAAAATGAATTGCAAAGTGAAAATGAATTACTACATGAAAATGAATCACAAAACGAAAATGAATTTCAAAATGAAAATTTCACATCTGATAATGATACAAGTGAATCTGAGATATCTGATCATAATATTAGAATTTTGCAAGATTTTACAAACAATTTTACAGAAAGTAATGATTCGAATAATGAATCAGATCAAAATATTGATTTTAAGAAATTTTTAGCTAATTGGACAGTTACAGAATGTATTTCACATTCATCATTACGCTTATTATTAAAAGGTATAAAACAGTATGCATGTCAAAATTGTAGTTTTGATATTCCATCTGATCCAAGAAGTCTTGTAAATACTCCTCGCAATACTGATACAGATGTTTGTGGTAATGGATATTATTATCATTTTGGTTTGACAAAATCAATATTAAATGCCATATCATCGATTTCAAGAAATATCACTAATATTAAAATATCTATAAATATTGATGGATTACCATTATCAAAGTCGTCACAACGCCAATTTTGGCCAATTTTGGGATTCATAGCTGATTTTAAAAAAGTTTTTGTTATCGGTATTTATTATGGTACAGAAAAACCAACCGATTCAAATGAATTTCTTCAAAAATTCGTGAATGAAGCTAAACTATTATGTAAAGAAGGAATAATTATTAATAACAAAAATATTCCTTGTATAATAGATTCAATAATATGTGATGCGCCAGCAAAAGCATTTATACTGAAAATAAAAGGACATAATGGTTATTTCAGTTGCACTAAATGCATTACTGAAGGCAGTTACATTAATGGCAAAATGTGTTTTCCTGAAATTAATGCACAGTTACGAACAGACATAGATTTTCGTTTAAGAAAAGATGAAAATTTTCATGTTGGATATTCAATTCTCTCAGAAATTCCAAATTTGGATCTTGTACATAATATACCTTTAGATTACATGCACCTTATTTGTTTAGGAGTTACGCGAAAATTATTGTATATCTGGTTATTTGGAGAACTTACAGTTCGTTTACGAAACAGAAAAGTTAAAGCAATCTCATGGCAGCTAGAAAATGTATTAAAATTATATATGCCATGCGAATTTGCACGTAAGCCAAGATCACTTACTTTAGTAAAACTATGGAAGGCTACAGAATTTCGAAATTTATTATTATACACTGGTCCTATAGCTTTGAAACCTTCTCTTCGAAAGGATTTGTATGACCATTTTCTAGTGTTACATGTAGCAATTAGAATATTATGTTCCTCAAAGTTACGAGATTTTATTGATTATGCTCACGATCTTCTTAAACATTTTGTATCATCATTCAAGTTATTATATGGTGTACATAATATTTCCCATAATATACATGGACTAATTCATATTGTAGAAGATGCAAAAAAATTTGGCACATTAGATTATTTTAGTGCTTTTAAATATGAGAATTACTTACAAACATTTAAAAAATTATTGAAAAAGCATGATAAACCACTAGAACAAATAGTTCGCAGATACACTGAATATGAACAAAATAAGATCAAAGAGAACAAAGCAGAAGAATGTGAAATAACGTGTACTCATTTTTTAGTAGACCTCAAATCTACTCATACAAAAGGTCCTTTAATAGAAGGTTGTTATAATCCACAATATCGAATAATGAGATGCTTAAATACAACAATACGTATCGATACTTTGGCAGATAACTGTTGCCGCTTAAAAAATGGAAACATTATTGAAGTGAAAAATATTGCTTACTGTAAAGAGCTTAATACAAACGTTGTAATAGGAAACGAATTTTGTCATAAAGAAGATTTATATAATATTCCTTGCCATTCGTCTTTTATAGGAATATTTATTATAGAAAACTTATCAGAATTAAAGATGTGGCCGGTAGAAGATGTTGAAACAAAATATGTTAAGCTACCATTAATAAAAGATAATAAATTTGCAGCTTTTCCATTGTTGCATTAATTTTAAACATATTTCAAGATAGAGAAAAATAAAAATAAAAATAGAGTATTTAATGATTATCATCATGGAAGAATACTCCATTGTTGAATTTGAAGATGGTTTGCAAATGATTCCCACTTCCTGGCTAATAAAAGATAAGAATGCTGCTTATTGGCCACAATTTACTTCACATGTGAGATTTATAAAAGCTGTGCAGAAAAATATTTTACCTGATGATAATTGGCCCATGTATAACGTGAAAAGGATCTTAGCTACTTCAAGTAAGTTATAAACAAAACAAAAAAATAAATGTTATATAAACAAAATAAATGTTTAATGTTAAGAAATTGCTGTTATAAATTAAAAATATAATGTTGTGTTTCTTTTAACTGTGTTAAGCATTAATAAATTATATCTTCTATTTAGACACATATGAGAAAGGACTACTCAAATTAAAAAAAGCAGAATTTATATCGGACATAAATTCAGAAAGCGATGACTCAGAAGAGTTAAAAAAATCTCGAAAGAATAGGGCCAAAAAAACAATATCAAGCAGCGATGATACTAATGATGATGAAAGGATTCAATTACCAGCCTATCCTAAAATTCCACATATAAAAAAGGATACACGTGAAACGAAAATGAATATATTTCATAATAAGTCGAAGCAACAATTAACGAGTATGTAAAAAATAAATAATACATATTTTTTTATAACACAATAATTTAATTAAACTTATTATTTATATTATTATTTATATTAAAATATAGAAAGGATATATACCCTTGAAAAAAAAGAATTGGAAAAAAAAAATATTAATTTAACAGAAACAAATCAAGCAACGTACAATTTGGCTGATGATTGTGGAGGTAATTTTTATAATTATCATAAGAATATCATTAAAATATTTTTAAAACATGTATGTTTTGTAGCAATACTTGATAAAGATGAAGAAATTATATATGATGATGAATCTCCTAATAACCATTATAAAACTGAAAATAATAATAGTTCATGTAAGTATGAAATATGATTTATGAATCTATTAAAATAATTTTATGTTTTATTAATTTTTATATTTCAATAATTTTATTTTATATTTTTAGCAAACTCTGATTTTCAACGCTATATAATAAGAAAATTAACAGATATAGGATTTAAATTATCTTCAATAGAAGAACAAGAAAGACTTTTAAACAATAGAATTGATATTATGTTACGTAAACTTGAGAAATGTTTTTCATGTGAAGAAATTTTGGACAAACAAATTGCAGAAGAATCTTTAATGGATAATTTTCCTATTGACAATATTGAGGATCTGGAAAAATTCGAAAAATCGTTAAAAGATAATATTATTAACCGCAAAGAATTGGTAAATATATTAAAAAATTTTATTAAGTGTATGTATAAAATTATATTTTTAATAGTCAAATCTATTAAAACAAATTTCTCCAAGTGTCTGTGTTTCTATTCTTATTAATTTAGTTAGTAGAATATTAACAGAAATCTAATGGTCTCTTTGATGTCCAACGTATGATGATATTCATAATAATAGCTTCTTAAAAAATAAGAATTCTTAAAAAAAAATTTTGTTATTTTGGATATCAGATATCGGCAGCATCGGATAAATCCTCAATCTCAAATTATATTAACAAGCTCTGTTGATAGAATAAAAGCTTAATGTAGACACATATAGTATTCTAACTGAAGTTGCCAATTTGTCGACAGATTGTAATTTTACTTATTAGAATTTTTCTTATATATTTTTCACTTTTATAGATTAAGCAGCTATCATCTATTGGAGGAAATAATATCAAAGGCATCACTTTTAATCTTTTACGAGTGTTAATGTCAGATAAGTTAGCTTCTACATTTAGTTATGTTGGAGGAAAAAAAAAACGGATATTTTATGATTTACAACTACGAAAAATTATATTTAGTGAGTAAATAATCAAGTATTTAAATATACATGATAAAAACAATATTTATTTATAAATGTAATTTATGTAATTTGTTATTTTTTTAGATGTTGTACGACTTCGATTTGCAGAAGCAACTGAATATTGTATTTCCGAGCCAATCAAATCTTGGTTACGACATGCGAATGAGCGTTATCTAAAGAAAAATAAGTAAGTTTTTACAAATTTTCGTAAATACACGGTATTTATGAATAAGTTATTAATTATCATTTATTTTCACAGGATGGATGACACAAATGTATAAATGCATCACGTAGCAATTTGTTACAAATGTGGAAAAATATTATATACAGAGTGACACACGCATATATTATTATGAAGAAAATTATTCATTTATTTTTCTCTTAGGGAAAAGATTATGTATATTATTATGAAGAAAATTATTCATTTATTTTTCTCTTAGGGAAAATCTTTTCTATTTTATGAATATAAAGTACAAATGTTAAAAGCGTTCACATATTTTATACAGTTAATAGATAAAAGTTATTATATATATAAAAGTTAATAGATAAAAGTTATTATATATATAAATACACATTTATTTTAAATGTAGTTTTAAAGTTTTGGTTTAAATTTAGTTTTAGTTTAAAGTTTAACTTCAATTTTGAGTTTAAGTTGTTTTGTTCACATAAATTTATTTGCACAAAATAAAAAAAACTTTTTTTCATGCAAATAAACTTATTTAAATAAATTATTTATATAAGTTCACTCATTTCTTATTACTGTTCTTTGCGAAAATCTAAATTTTATTTTTTGTAACATATAAGTGTTTGTAATTTTTAAATTTAATGTTAATTAATATAATTAATATAATTAATAAATTATATTAATTAACATTAAATTTAAAAATAAATAATACTTATAATTTAAAAATAATAAATTAATGTAATTTGTTTTTAATTAATAATAAATATTAAATGACGAACTATTTTCAGTATTACATTTTAATAGTTGCAATGAATAACAGAACGTAATATTAGTTTATTTCATTTTCAGAGCATCAATCATGTAACTTTTCCCTAAGAGCAAAAATGTGAAAAGTGAAAAGTTTTGGCAATTTCGAATTCGGCAATTTTATTTATCAAATTCACGAAAAACTTTTCATTTTTTACGTTTTTGCTTTTAGGAAAAAATTACATTGATGCTCAGAATTTGCTCCTTAAAACATATGAAAAATATCCCTAATATATCCTGTAGAAATCCTTAGGATGTTCCACAAGATGTCCCTGGATTTTCCAGAGGCTAATATATGGCTATCATTTCCTCTTCCCGAGGACGTCCAAAGAATATCCACGGATAAAAATAGGATATCCTTAGGATATCCTACATGTATATCCTGGATGGTCTTAGGATGCCCTCAGGATATCCTTGTGCTATCTGGGTACCTTATATTTTCTTTTTTATTTCTTCTATCTCTCTTTTTTTCTTTCTCTTTATATCTTTTTTTTGTCTTTCTTCTCTTTCTCCTTCTCTCCCTCTCGTTACTTTTTTCAATAAAATTTCTTTATCTCTTTCTCTGTCTCTCTTCCTCTCTTTCACAAACTAAAAATTAAATAATAAATCATAAATATCTCTAACCTCAACATCCTCTAACATATATATATTCATATATATATATATATTTTTTTTATATATATATAATATATACATATATATGTACATATATATATATATATTTATAAGTAACTTGTATTAAAAATATATAATTACCTAATATTTTCTTTTTTATTTCTTCTATCTCTCTTTTTATTTCTTCTATCTCTCTTTTTTTCTTTCTCTTTATATCTTTTTTCTGTCTTTCTTCTCTTTCTCCTTCTCTCCCTCTCGTTACTTTTTTCAATAAAATTTCTTTATCTCTTTCTCTGTCTCTCTTCCTCTCTTTCACGAACTATAAAAATTAAATAATAAATCATAAATATCTCTAACCTCAACATCCTCTAACATATATATATATATACATATATATATATTTTATATATATATAATATATACATATATATGTACATATATATGATATATATATATATATATATATATATATATACATATATATTTATAAATAACTTGTATTAAAAATATATAATTACCTAATATTTTCTTTTTTATTTCTTCTATCTTTTTTTCTTTCTCTATATATCTTTTTTTCTTTTAATATTTCTTTCCTCTCGGTTCTGTCTTTTAATATAAATATTATATATTAATCCATACATACATACATATATATATATATATATATATATATATATACATATTTATATATACATTACCTAGTATTCTTTTCTCCTTTACTTCTGTTTCTTTCCTTTCTGCTTCTTTCTCTATTTTTCTGTCTTTCTTCTCTTTCTCCTTCTCTCCCTCTCGTTGCTTTTTGAAATAAAATTTCTTTATCTCTTTCTCTGTCTCTCTTCCTCTCTTTCACAAATTATAAAAATTAAATAATAACTTATAAATATTTCTAACCTCAACATCCTCTAACATATATATATATATATATATATATATATATATATATATATATATATATACAGAGTGTCCCACAACTCATAATCAATCTTGCAAAGACAGATTCCTGGGATCATTTAAAGACGTTTTTTCCTCAGTGAAACTGTCGATGAAGGCTATCATTTTTTGCATGTTCCCGATTTTTGTCATTATATATACATTACCTAGTATTCTTTTCTCCTTTACTTCTGTTTCTTTCCTTTCTGCTTCTTTCTCTATTTTTCTGTCTTTCTTCTCTTTCTCCTTCTCTCCCTCTCGTTGCTTTTTGAAATAAAATTTCTTTATCTCTTTCTCTGTCTCTCTTCCTCTCTTTCACAAATTATAAAAATTAAATAATAACTTATAAATATTTCTAACCTCAACATCCTCTAACATATATATATATATATATATATATATATATATATATATATATACAGAGTGTCCCACAACTCATAATCAATCTTGCAAAGACAGATTCCTGGGATCATTTAAAGACGTTTTTTCCTCAGTGAAACTGTCGATGAAGGCTATCATTTTTTGCATGTTCCCGATTTTTGTCATTATATATCTTTACAATTAAGCCTTAAATTAAAATGCAACTATAGTAAACTCTATTTAAAATTAATCGAAGGACGTCGTTTTGTTAATTTTATTTCTTCAAAGCTTAGTTTACACAAAACCCCTTATTTCCAATCACTCATAATTCAAATATTATTAGTGCCTCGACAGTTTCACTGAGTAAAAATTGTCTCCAAATGATCCCATAACTTGTATCAAAAATATATAATTACCTTATATTTTCTTTTTTATTTCTTCTATCTCTCTTTTTTCTTTCTCTTTATATCTTTTTTCTGTCTTTCTTCTCTTTCTCCTTCTCTCCCTCTCGTTACTTTTTCAATAAAATTTCTTTATCTCTTTCTCTGTCTCTCTTCCTCTCTTTCACAAACTAAAAATTAAATAATAAATCATAAATATCTCTAACCTCAACATCCTCTAACATATATATATTCATATATATATATATATATATATATATATATTTTTATATATATATAATATATACATATATATGTACATATATATATATATATTTATAAGTAACTTGTATTAAAAACATATAATTACCTAATATTTTCTTTTTTATTTCTTCTATCTCTCTTTTTTATTTCTTCTATCTCTCTTTTTTTCTTTCTCTTTACATCTTTTTTCTGTCTCCTTCTCTCCCTCTCGTTACTTTTTTCAATAAAATTTCTTTATCTCTTTCTCTGTCTCTCTTCCTCTCTTTCACGAACTATACAAATTAAATAATAAATCATAAATATCTCTAACCTCAACATCCTCTAACATATATATATATACATATATATATATTTTTATATATATATAATGTATACATATATATGTACATATATATATATATATATATATATTTATAAATAACTTGTATTAAAAATATATAATTACCTAATATTTTCTTTTTTATTTCTTCTATCTCTCTTTTTTTCTTTCTCTATATATCTTTTTTTCTTTTAATATTTCTTTCCTCTAGGTTCTGTCTTTTAATATAAATATTATATATTAATCCATACATACATACATACATATATATATATATATTAATATATATATATATATATATATACATATTTATATATACATTACCTAGTATTCTTTTCTCCTTTACTTCTGTTTCTCTCCTTTTCTGCTTCTTTCTCTATTTTTCTGTCTCTCTTCTCTTTCTCCTTCTCTCCCCTCGCTGCTTTTTTAAATAAAATTTCTTTATCTCTTTCTCTGTCTCTCTTTCTCTATCTTTCTTTACTTAAATAAATTATTAAAGATAATAATATTTAATAATAATCTTTATTACCTAATAATCCTCTCTCCTTCTCCTTTTCTCTATTCTCTCTCTTAATAATAATATTTAATATTTAATATTTCTCTCTCTTCTTCCACCCTTTTACTCTTTAATTTTAATTTATTTTATTTTTCTTCTTTCCAACCTGTCAAACTGTCAAACTGTCAAACGACACGAATGAAGCAAGTCGCTCAGCAAATTACTATTGACGACCAATAACCAATCATCATCGCGGAAAAGAGGCAACAATGTAAATAACATGCCTTTCTTAGAGAGGGATTATATTTTATATTTCCCCTTCATTATATAGGTTATTATATATTGTTTTAATTCCCCGTATAAATAATTTTTAAGAAATATTTAAATATTACGATACATTAAGATAATATATATATACTCTAAGGATTATCTACAATTTTTTCCTTTTCCAATATATGTGTAAAAAAAAAAATTTTATATACCAAATATATATAATTATATTATACATACGCAATGTGACTATCATATGAAGAGAAATTTCTTTTGAAATTTTCTCTCCTTATTGACGTTATATACAGGGTTGGGCAAAAGTCCGGAAACGGTCAAATATCTCGAAAAGGATCAACTATAGCGAAAAATTGTAAATAGCAAAGTTGTAGGGCTTAAAAAAATGTACCTAATGATGACTAAAAATTTTACTTTGAGTGGAGGACGAAGATCATATAAAAGTCAAATTGAATTTTTTAAATGGAACTGCCTACTTTTTATTGCATATTCTTATAGCTGACCTCGAGAGCTTTCCAAAACACTATAATAAAATATTTTTCCCTCAAGCATTTATCGAGTTATGAGGCTTCAAATCATTTCTTAATTTTACATAAACCGTAAAATATCTTGTAAAATATTCACTTTTCGATTATTTTACCTTAATACTTTTATGTACAAAATAATGAGAGGAATCAATTGGTCTAAAAAAAAAACACATAATTGTTCCGAAGAAAAAATATGTAATTGTTAATTGCAAATTACATATTTTTTCTTCGGAACAATTATGTGTTTTTTTTCAGACCAATTGATTCCTCTCATTATTTTGTACATAAAAGTATTAAGGTAAAATAATCGAAAAGTGAATATTTTACAAGATA